GTTATTGTCAGTACATTAATTAAAGCACAATTATTTATTAATGTATTAAAAATTAAATTTTTAAAACATATTTTTAATTTATTCTCATTTTAAATTTTCAAAATCTGATTTTTTTAAAAAAATTTACTAATAAGGAATGAAAGATAACAATAGTCAAACTTGTACATTGGCAAACGTGAAAAGTACGTTGACCGTTGCAATTAAAAAGGAACGGTGAAAGTATATTGTTATACTCCGTAGTTGTTAGAATTTCTCAAACTTGAGACTGAGAGTAGTTGGTGTGATTTAGAGAATAGGAATATAATTATTCAATTAAACTTTTTTACTCATATTTAGCACAATTTCTTATAAGCAGGGGCGGAGCCAAGGGGGGGTTAGGGGGGTCAGTCGACCCCGCTGAAAGTTTGAGAGCATAGAGCTCTGAAATATCTTCGATTTGATATATTATGGCCCCCGTAACTCATTACGAGTAAAAAGTTATGACTTCTGCAAAATCAGCATTATCTAAACGTAAAATCGGCAAAATTTGATGAGTAATATTGATTTTTTCCCCCAAATTTTAAAATAGCGTATAATTAACTCATTACTTATGTGACATGGCTCAAAAATAGAGCAAAAACAGTCTCTTTTATTGTTACGAGTGCCTATTTATCTAAACTACATATAAAATATTCAACTCGGACATTGTTTGGAAACGATCCACCGTTTTCATTTTGTATAAAGTTGATTATCGACCCCCCTGGACCGTATTTCTGGCTCCGCCACTACTTATAAGTCATTTCATGTGAAGATAATTGATTGAGTTTACGCATTAACTAATTTAATTTATGATATATCATTCGTTTATATTAATTTAATGTTGTTAATTTAAGTATACGCTTGACGCAACTTTATCGCTCGTTCATAGTTAGAATGTTACATGCTCATTCATATTATTGAATATTGACAGTAAGAATTGTAAACAAACCAACAGTGCAAATAGCAACGTCAGAGATAAGCAATAAACAAAATCCAAAAATGCAATGTAAAGCAAAAAAAGGTAAACATGACCCCTATTAAATTGCTTGGTGTTTGGGATGCCTTGAAATTTGAAAATATGAGGGAGAAAGCAGTTTTTTTAAATTATATATTGGGGTGTTTGGATGTGATTCTCAAAACTGATTCTGCTCCTTTAGGGAGCAGAAACAGAAGCTGGAGTGTTTGGGTGAAATTCCAGAAGCACTTCTGGAGCTCTAATTTACTCTCAGAATCAGGTTTTTTAGAAGCTGGAGGGTACCAGCTTCTGAAAACTGATTCTGATTCTGATTCTGCTTTTAAAAAAGAAGCAGAAGCAGAATCAGTCCAAACACCCCCATTATAGTACTTGTTTGATGTATCCAATTTTAGGTTGATAGCCATATGGGTTGGCACATGTACAGGAAATTAAAAAGGTCAGTTAAGTCATTTTACTGCTTTCAATCTATCACCTAAGTCCGTGGACTAAAAAAACATCATATAAGTACGTCTACTTTAAAAATGGGAAAAATAATAAAAATATTCCAAACTTTGAAGAAGTGTATGTAAGATGAACACCTCAAATTATTTGCATATGTAATTTAAATACCACTAACCTTGTATAAAAAGTTATTTTAACACCATAGTGAAGTATTATTTCTTTTAAAAATGTAAATATATGGTGTTAATTTTACAATTTAAAATATTTTAGAATTCATGAAGGTAAAATTAACATTCTAAACTTCCATAAGAAAGCAAATAATGTTACCCCCAATCTATATAATTGCAACACTTTTAATTTTCTATTTTAAATTATGCAATTAACCCCATAAATTCACATTTTTGAAAGAAATAATACATGAAAATGGCGCAAACATAACTTTTTATTTAAAGGTTGGGGTATTTAAATAACATATGCAAGTTTGAGGTGTTTACCTCACACCCCCTCAAAGTTTAGGATATTTTTATTACTTTTCCCTTAAAAGATTGATCAATTTGGTCATTTATTCAATTTTTGACTTGTAATAGAAAGGCTTTTTATATTAAAAACTCTAAAAAGTTGTTAAAATTTAAAGAAACATAGATAAAAATTGTGAAAATTATCAAAATGTCAAAATCAATATTTTGAAAATTTGAAATTATTTGTATAGTCTACATCTATTAGAGGGTTTTTACAATTTTACATTAATATTTTTTTTTAATTTTTACATTATTTTTTTCATTTTCCTGATTTCTTATTTTTATTTTAACGTTTTTAAATTATTTATCTATTTTTACACCTATGCTACTCCGTATTTTTTTATATTATTATACCCGGAGTATTAGTTTTCAAATTCATACAAATTTTTATAAGATTTATCAATAGTTCTAATTTAATTTTTTTAAAAATAATCTGCTAATGCAGGTCAAAATGGTTTGATTGATTGTATTTAAAAGATAATTGCACTTATATGATGTTTTTTTATAGCAGAAGAGCTTATATGATATATTATAAATAACCGAATTGATTTGATTTACTTGATTCTTTTCTCATAAAAATAAGGTATTAAAAATCACTCCGTATGTGACAAATATATATGCAGAAAATAAAAAATTGTTATGAACAATAAATATTTGGTGACAACTCCGGTACCTTTTCAAAAAACGGGGTACCGAACCTACCATTCATTTAATTGGACCACATTACTTTATCATTTTTAATTTAGATTTAAATAATTCAACTGCTACATTCTCATTGATCCATGTGACAAAAGTATGATACTTTATGGGTACGATAGAATCTATCTAGATAATTTGCCGTAAAGAGGAAGTGAGTGAAGTGACAAACTCTTTTCACATATCGATAGAGTGTGAGCTCCCATTCTTTTACTACAAGCAATGTCCAAACATTATTTAGTTAGTTGCTTTTAATTTGTAACCGACGATCCAATAAGCACACAGTATTAGTAACCAACGATCCAGTGTTATTCGTAAATCCATTTACGGAGTCGTATTTCATTAATTCATTACCTTAGATTAAAAAAAGGGAAAGTTTCCGAAATGGGACTAAAAAAGTTCGAAAATTCCAAAATAGGACTGTCATGTTTTTATTCCCAAAATAGGACTAATTACTGCCAAATTTGGAAAATACTGCCATTTTTGAAGTCTGGTACTGCCAAAACATGGCAGTAATTAGTCCTATTTTGGGAATAAAAACATGGAAGTCCTATTTTGGAATTTTCAAACTTTTTTAGTCCCATTTTGGGTAATATCTCTTAAAAAAATCATGGAGTAATAAAATAGACAAAATATGTACATAAAGTGAGATCTAGAAGATCAAAAAAGAAAAAAGCTGATAAAGATTGGTGTGCCGGCTATTTAAAGTTTAAGAAAGTGAATTAAACTATCTACCTTTCAATTCAAATTGACACATCATAGAATGAAAACCCATCCCTAATGCTTTTCTAATTTTATTTATACAGACAAATTTAAATTAATAAACTGATATTGTATGGTTGAGATATACGGAGTAAGTCAATAAGGGAAAAAATCAATATCAATTCCAGGATTATTTGTTTGAAAGAAAATTCTTTGAGATATCGAAAAATGGATGAACGTTTAAATTATTTCATTGCAGTTTTGATTAATAAATGTTACGTTGTCCATTCCCATATTAAACGATTTAGTTTTTTGAGAGAATATTAAACTATTTAGTTAAAAATACTCTGTATGTAATTAGAATTTCACGCACAATACATTTATGTCATTATTATTATTATTATATGTATCCAGTCCCTATATACCCGTACAAAGTATTAATCTCTATAAAAATGCAATAATAACAAGCCAATAATAGATGAGACAAATTATGAAGGTTCTGGGAACACATCTTTATCATTACTCCGCATTAGTACATGTTTTTAAGTCAAATAATATGAGCGTGCCTTGGATCTCTCGCCATCAAGAAAACGCTTTCCGTGTTTAAAAGAGAAATGCTTTGGGTGTGAGTTGGGCGGTATATGAATCGCAAACAGATTCTAATCGGATTCTTTGGGTGTTCGTATGTGTTTATTAAATGGTTTATGCACCAAACATGCTCCTCAAATATAAATTAAGCGCATTAGTTTTCTGTGATTTAAAAAATGCGTCAAACCCCCTTATAGTTATTCATGGCAAAATCTTTTCTATAAATAAATTTAATTGTCAAATAAATGAAAAATGATTAATTTTCTTATACAATTTAGAAATTTTGACGAAAATACCTGCATATTCAATCGTATTGTTAAGGAGGTTTTCAAAATTGTAAAATTTATTCTTGAAGGAGGTTTTGCGCATAAACAATTAAAACACAGGCGGTTTGACATATTTTTAAGGCTAAATGGTCAAATAGCCCCCTGTACTTGTTCGGAATGCTCAATTCGCACTCTGAACTCAAAAAAGCTCCAATTCACCCCCTGAACTCAACAAAAAACTTCAAATCCTATTTTTTGCAGGTGAATTTCCGATCATCGCCACATCAGCCGGTTAGATCCCAATCGTGCATCCCACGTGGAAATATTTATTTTTTATAAATATATTAAATAATACAAAGTCTATTTGACCCCTTAGATTTCCACGAGGGATGCACGGTTGGCATCTAACCGGATGACGTGGCGATGTCCGGAATTTTACCTGCAAAAAGTGGTATTAGAACTTTTTTGGCGAGTTCATGGGGTGAATTGGAGTTTTGTTGAGTTCAGGGTGCGAATTGAGCATTCCGAACATGTACAAGGGCCTATTTGACCGTTTAGCCTATTTTTAAAATCATAGGGGGTTTGACGTTTTTCTAAAATCACATGGGACTAATACACCGAATTTATATTTCACGAAAGGTTTGATTCATTAAACCCGTTTATTAAAGTTTTGTTTGGTAGTAGGGTTTAGCTTCTTCCGCCGTTTTTGTGCGGTTTAGGTGTAGATCGGCAACATGGCCGCCACCGAGTTCGCGGGGAGCAGAGTGGGGCGCGGCAGCTTCTCGGCTCAGACGGAGGACGGCGCCAAGGACGACGAAGGGGATCCGTTGCAGACGGAGGGGGCTGAGAACATGGAGGCGTTAATCGGCAAGTACGGCGGCATGGGACTGGGACTGTCGGAGGAGGAATTGCTGCTAGATGACGAGGAGGAAACCGAGCAAGAACCTTTGGCAGCGCGCAAGGCAGTGGAAACCTACCCTGTCGTGGGTACTATTTTGACAGATAAAGCGGTAAAGTTCCAAATCTTCCGCGATCGGATGGCGTCTTTGTGGTGCCCGGGTAAGGGTGTTATGATTCAAGAGATCGGAGAGAAGAGGTATCTGTTTACATTTTACCACTTAATTGATAGAAATCGTGTGCTAAATGATGGACCTTGGTTTTATGATCAGAACCTGTTAGTTTTGAAAGCTATTGAGCAGGGTGATATGCCTCTGAAGGTGCCGCTTGATACAGTTGATTTCTGGGTACAGGTGCACAATATCCCTTATGGATACTCTAATTTGGGAAATGCCCGTAAATTTGGGAACTATTTGGGTAGTTTTGTTACCTGGGATGATAACCAATTTGATGAGAAATGGGAAGCCTATATGCGGGTTAGGGTCAAACTGAATGTGGGAAATCCCTTAAAAGTGGGTATCAACCTGAAGAAGGGTAAAGGGGAAGGGAAATGGGTGGACTTCAAATATGAGAAACTCCCTAGTTTTTGCTTTGCGTGTGGAATAATTGGACATGCTGAAAAATTCTGTCCATTAATGTATGAGCAAGGTCAGGGCCGGTCCAGGGCATGGCTGCCCAGTGCGACCGCACAGGGCCCGGATTTTCGAAGGGCCAAAAAAAAATTAGTATTACGCCCCAGCCCAAAATCCTCCTGCGTAAATCTAAATATGCTTGAAGAATGTTCCTTTTTAAATAAATTGTAAGTTATTAATGACTATTTTTATCATTACATTTATTCGTAAGTTGTGTTTTAAGACAATTTGCTTGTGTTACAATTTGAAAAAAGGCCCAAATTTTATTCTCGCACAGGGTCTACATTTCTTCGGAACCGGCCCTGAGCAAGGTGGAAAAGAGGTTATGAGACCTTTTGGGCCATGGCTACGAGCAGGTGGAGGACGTCCCCGCCTATCCTTGGGAAGCAAATGGCTAGTTAACGATGGAGGGGCAGGAAGGAGTCTTATGGGAGTGCAAAAGTATCTAAATGAGAAGCAGGACCAGGGCCAGATTTCTGGACAGCTCAAGATTCAGGAAAAAGGGGAAGGGTTGAACCCGGAGGGAGCAAGGACCGCTGGCAATGGAGTGGGTGAGCAGAAGAGGAGGCGGACCTGGGATGCACTGGAGCAGGAGCAATCAGGGGAGGAGGCTATGGTTTTGGACAGCACAAAAAACAGGGAAGGGGCGGCCTGGGTTCCTCAGACCCGCCTAAATTAGTGAAGATCTGGGGCTGGTGGAGTTTTGAAGTTGTTTTAAATTTTAGACTGTTTTCTCTTTCTGTTGTTTTATGCTGGTGTCAGCGAGTACGTTTGTTTGCTGTTATCTTTATTTCTGTTAAGACTCTTGAACATAGGACAGGTGATAGAGGGCTTGGTTTACCAGTCACTGGCTCAAGTAAGCCCAATTTAGGATCAGCGAATCTGGTTGCTTCTTATGAGGTGGCAGGTTCTAAGTCTGGTTCAAGGGCAGACGGTAGGCCTTGGGCTCTATGTCAGTTTGTATTCTGCTTATGTTCTTCCTTATTAATATAAGCCACATTCTTCCAAAAAAAAAGTTTTGTTTGGTATTTATTTTCTTTTTTATTTGATGTAAAAATATTCTACTCCACATTGAAATTAATCAGACAAGCATCCTTAATCTATTATGATTTGAAAATATACCAACTCATGCATCTACCAACTTCAAAACAAATAAGCGAAAAAGGATACAGAATAGTGAAATAAACTAAAAAAAAAACTACAACAAACAAACAAAGGGAAATTGCGAACATCTAGTCTAGAAATAAAATAGCGATGACTCCCCGTGAGCTATTTATGTCCAATCATAATGCACCCTTGCCTCATTTCATTGAAGCGGCAAATCTACCGGTGGGCATAGCTCAAGTGGTAGATAGGGGGTGCCACATGGGGTAAGTCTCAGGTTCGAATCCCGGCAACTGCGATGAGAGGTTACTATGCTAAAAAATGCACAGAGTCTCTGCAAGTATCAGGGTCAAAGCCCCACTCTCTATCTATCAGTTTGTGATTAAAGTCCAATTTACATTCTTCCATCTAACTGTCCTGTCGGTGTTGGGGGCCCCTCAGGGATGGGGTGTCATTTTTTTTATTGGAGCGGCAAACCTGTCTCCCCTTCCTGAATACTAATGGCTTTTAATCTAATCTTGTACTTACGAGTTTGAGAAAGTCTAGCATCACTCTCTCACGCAACGCTGGTTCATGAGGGGGCATATTGAGCATGTTAGGAATTTAGCGGTTAGCGGATAATAGATTATGTTAGCGGGCAGTTAATAGTGGATTCAATCAGCGAGTTTGACTAGCGGGATAAGTTGGGTTGTTAGAAAATGTTTGATAATTTAACTGTTTGACCATAAAATTAATAGCAAATGCCATATTCCAAAGCGTTAAACCAATACTCTCCTATTTGCGGTGTTTCCATTTCAGCGATTTCGTCCAAAAACGCTAGTGTCGAACAATTATTTACCAAACAACGTTTTCGCTTATTGAAAACGCTAAAAGTGGTACGGTCAAACTAACATTTTTTTAACTGATATGCCGTTTACCAAACACCCCCATTATTAGTGCTGCCATAGATAAGTTAAGAAACATAATAGCTATAGATTTATGACACAAAGAATATAGCCCCCTCTTTATTTTGAAGTTTGTTACAATTTCCTCTTGGGATGCTCTTTAAAAATGCTCAATTACCCCTGCATTTTCTACTTTTTATATTCTATTTCATACTTTTACACCATATCTCCTACTTTTTCTGCATTATTCATTGATTACCCTTATTACTTTCCTCCTTAAACAATGTATCAAACCTATTGTAGCAATCTTTAAAATACAAATAGAGTAGTCAATAGCAATTAAACAATTGCATAACATCTTGGAGGAACTTGCATGATTGGCCTAAGAAGAAGTCACCATATAATGACTGTCGAAACTGACAGAAAAGTATCTTTAAAACTCTGTGAAATAAATCACTCCTCACAAAAGTTGCAGACCTTTTCTTAATTATGAAAAACGAAACGAAGAATATATCTGAGGCATCGGAGTGCATTGTAGCGAATGTAAGAGATAGAAGGCTTGGCTTGGTGAGAGTAGAGAGACTGGATCTTACGATCTAATGTGACACCGCACCTGAACGTCCTTGAAAATTCAATTTAAAATTCAAAGTTTATGTATTGAATTTCCGACTTCCAAACAATTGTAAAACGATTAATGTTTTACGTAGTGCATGATTGATTATTATACTGTTCAAACTCGTATATTAGTGTCGGGTTTGCAAATACTTATTTGGGCCTTATTAATGAATATAAGAGTCCAACATTTCCCAAATAATGATACATAACCTTTCAAGACAAGTTGAGGAAGGACGGGCGGCCCAAACATTATTTTGGGCCCAACCTGCTAAAAATAGCAAGTATTCAAGAATGGCGTCGTAGGCCCACTCGGGGATGACCCACACGGCTAGTAGTCCAATAATATGAATGCAAATGTCAAAATAAGTGATAGAATGATTAGAGAAGCATACAAATGCCTATGATCCCATCTTTGACATTATTGAGCTAAATAATGGGAGTAAGAGTTTTACTTCTATAATATTCATCATGTAAATTATTGGGATGATGCTACACATATTTGAGACCAAATAAAATGATGTAGGGAGTTGACTTGGTCTATATAAATTACAATGAGTACAAAAAGACATCTTTTGACAAAAGATTAAACAATAGGACCCATTCTTCCATTTTTGGATGTATTGATTAATATTTTGCTCCCAAAATAATTGGGGAACAACATGCTGCGCCCCATATCTTCCTTCCACCTGCAAGACAAGAAAAATAATGTTAGGGGGCGGCCACAGCTGACTCTAGGGGCTGGACTTGACAAAGGAAGCAAGAGGGAACCCCACTTAGTCTATTTTCGCACAAAAAGATGGTGCTGGTTGTCTCCCTCCATAAGTGAAGTTATACTCGACCAAATAACGTGAATGAGGTGTCCTTGGATAACCTTTGAAGTCTAGTTTCACATTTGAGTGGTCTCTGTTCGAGAGGGGAGAGTTTATCATACAAAAATCGAGCTGGAGTGAACTGCTGTCTGTAAACTCGAGCAGTGAGAGTGTTGAGGCTGGTGGGTTGATATCTTGAGTTATACCAATCCAAATAAGGCGTACAAGATACCAAAAGAAAGATCTCAAGACGAGGAATCCGTGAAGGTCTGGTTTGCATTAATGGGAGTAGTGTAAGGCTTCCAAATCGTCCGACAAAAACACAAACTCGCAGGAACGGATTTACTCTCCTAAAGTGAGTGTTAACCCCAAACTTTGCTTTTCATTTTCCAAATGATATGAACGATTGGTGGAATTATTATACACTACTCCAAGTGTATAATATGTCCTCATAAGGTTATTTTATTGATGTAAAGGTTAGATACTAACCTAGAGCAAATCTTGGAAAAGTAGGGAACGAGTTAGCCGGAAAACACCCATTCTAGGGGCTGTTTTCGTATCAACGATTAGGGGTTGAACTAGCACTTTGAGGAGGCTGTTTAACACTCAATTCCAAGCAAGGAATCAGTTCTCAAACCTTCTTGGCCGAGGCTTTGGTCGTTGGAGCGAGAAGGAAGGTTTTAAAGCTCATTTGAGGTGAGGATTGATATCTAATTGCTTACAACTTGTAGGTTAAGCATGAGATTACCTAAATGCCTAAAGCATAATTTTTCATGGATTATGATGATTAAATATTGATGAAATATTGATATAGTTTCCAAAGAATGAAATTGGAAATGATTTGAGGATGTATGAATAATATGAGATTAAATGAGTTATAAATGAGCTATTTTGTGAAATAGGGATTTTACTCATGTATGAATTATGTGGATACATAAATGAATATTTATGTATTGAGATTGAATACTCAAGTTGCTGCTACATGCCTATAAATATGTAGAGAATTACAAAATGAGAGTATTTGTATGATAACAATGATCGTAATAGTATTGAAATACTAGTTAGTGATTATTGAAAATTGTTGTTGGAATTGATCCTAGGAATTGGATTGTATGAAATGCACTTGAATATACTTCAAGTGTATATGATGACTTAGTGTGAGACTAAGGTTAAGTGGTGGGAAGTCTTTAAGGATGACCCATGGTAGTTTATTGATATGTCAATTCTAGGCATAGGGTTGCTTAAGAATTGGACCTTCATGCATGGTGATGTGATAGATCCGAGCTCTAGGATGCATGGTAAGGGGGTAGACTTGTAGTCTATGTATTGAATAACTAGAGCCGAGCTCTAGGTCTTGCATGGTGATGTGATAGAGCCGAGCTCTAGAACGCAAGGTAAGGAAATTGACCCGAGTGACATGAATTGTATGGTGATGTGGTAGAGCCGAGCTCTAGAATACAATGTCATGTATTAGGGTTGGACTCTATGAGTTGTCGTGGCTTATAGTCACGGGGAATGGGAATGTTGATTTCTAAATGAATATGGGCCCACGGGCCGACTACTTGACTTTTATATAAAGTAAGTATATTTCCAAACGGGGTAACTTAGGGTTACAATCATAATGTACTATCACCCTATTTGAGGGTCTTGTGTTTGAAATACTTGTTGTATATCTATTGGATGCCTGCCACACCAGTACTTTATAGCCGTATAGAGTACTGACCCCTTCGGGGGCGTCCCACCACCATTTCAGGTTGAGGCTTGAGCTTGCATCCTGTGCTCGTTGATTGAGTGATTCCTCGGAGAGAAGACTTGGTTCGTGCTTCCTTCATTCTATTTGAAACATTAATAAATTTGCTCATGAATATTTTACTATAGAGCCTGCGTGCTCATGAATAGCCCTGTGTGGCCCTTTTGTTTTAAACAATGTTTTCCGCTGCGTTATGAATTACTTACTAGTTTTTTCACCCGTGCGTTGCACGGGGTGAAAATGGCTATTTTACTTTATTTGACAATAATATAATTTTTTCTCAAACACGGTGTCAAGAATTATTTTACATGATTTGATAGTAAAAGAATGCAAAACATTTGCCTCTCGATTTGAATTAAAAATCTGTTAATTTATTTAGGACAAAATGTAATATTACAAATTGGTAAGGACCTGACTTCAAGTCGATTCACTATGGATTTTTTAAATGAATGTAAATTTTCTTGTCTGAACTGGAATGTTCTAATCTGATAGATGTTTCGTCTCTATGGATTTTACAATTTTAAAGTCCGGTTTGAGTGCAATTACGTAAGCCAACTGATTGATCTGGATTCCTCATGAGCATCACATTTAATCTTCTGGCCAGGGATTCTAAAAAATTTGATTCCATTCAATGAATTTTGAAGAGTGGTTCTCTTAAATCGGAGTTCAAATCTCTTTTCATCTTTGATGGTATTTGTACGAACATGTAACAATTAACCATATCCGTCTCAGGTAGATTCTTCATCTTTGAGTCTCATTTATATGAGTTGCAATTTTGATCACCAGAGCTCGTTACCACTCCACAACTCCAATGAATGGTCTATATTCCTCTATTTCTTT